CCTCCCTCCCATACAAAAAAATAAAATAAAAACGTCTTAAAGAAGAGAATGAGATTTTTGCGGGGCTTACAGAATGGGGTGATTCCCGCTTTCGAATATTTCAGAGACATTCAAACAAATTTTAGTGGAGAAGGTAATTGCATGTACAGTTGATTTAGCTGATATACATTTGAAAGGATATTAGCGTACCAATTAAAGAAGTTCAAGATCTCTTTCTTTATCTTTTGCTAATTTTTGAGCTAAAAAGTCTGTGTATCTAAAAATTAGCATATATGGTAGAGCTTTTGATGATCTCAACTATCGAAATCATGACATTAAGATTTTCTATGAAGGCTCAATTCTATAAATAGAGCTGCAGTGCAAGAGTTTTCCCACCGTAATTGCTGTACTTGTAACAAATGTTGCAAAACTCAACAACATTATGTTCAAGTGACTCCCAAACTATTTTTTTAAATCACAGTCACTGCTTCCCATCCCCTCAAATACATTGGTAAATGTGACTGAAAGTTGACACTTGCAACAAGCACTCATTAGCCTAGGACCAGCAAATTCCTAAGTTAGATGCCACCAAATGTTATATTTGTAAGGAGAGCGACCTATAAAATTGCTGTGACAATAACTGTGTTCAAATCCCATAGCGGTTAACGCTATTAAGGCACAGATGGTCGATTAGGACTAAGTAAATTAGCGCAAGTACCTTGTTCCCTCCTTGGCTGTCGACAATGCTTTGCACCTGCGCAAATGCTTCTTCAGCTGAAGCAATCAACCGATACCTGAAATATGGGGAAGACTTGAGCTAAAACTCTAGGAAATAATTAAATCGATGAGGTTTGCGTTGCTCACTTTCTCTTCCTAATTCGCCTTTCCCATTCGCATTCTTCTTGCAGGATGTCGTTATGATTTGTGCTGCGCCGTCGCGATGTCGCTTCCATAAGCGCACGGAGGTTACTCTGTTTATGTATCATACACCAACATTTTTCGAAGCAAATCACGAGCAGCAGGGTACCTGACTGATTTCTGCAGTTCCACTTCCTAATCCTTCAATGTCGTACATTTTGAACCCTGGAGGCTGAGATGAATTTCGCATTCGATGACTGGATTGGCGAGCCTAAAAACAAGGAACTACTCCTTTCTGGGATTTATGGTTTTAATAACCCATACCTTATCAAGGAAAACGTTATATGAAGGAAAATAGGATTCGTGGAAGCGTAAAACTTGTATAGCAGCTTCTTGTAAGGACATCATTCCTGAAAATAGAAGTAGCCTTCAAAAATCTTAATAAGATTATGAAAAACTAGTACCTATCGACATAGTTTTCGATTCTCCGTCTGGATCACGCACGACGGTGACGATGTATTCAGGACGTAGACGTCGAA